TGTACTGTGTTATGTTGATTCAAAGGGACTTTCAACAATTTCATGTTATTTGAAAGTCGGGACATCCGAAGCAATAACTGCCTCCCATAGGAACAAGGCAAGGAAGGGGGCGGAAAGTCATGATAAATTGAAGGGGTCAGAAAATAATAGGCCAAAGTCATATTGAGTACCTTTTGAAACAAACATAACAGGTGTACTTGAGCATGCTGTACTACCGACTTTGGGTAATTTGTTACAACCATAAGTTATTAGTATATTTAACCCCATCCAATCATTTAACCATAATATGTGTCATCATACAAAGAGCTTTAGGTTTAGTAAAATGTTACTCATTTCAATTCAAAACAAGCAAACGCAAGTTCACATTCACGAATGGATTTGAACCATGGTCATCTGGACCGTATCGTCAAGCAGAATATCAGCGGAGCAATAAAAAAGCGCTCAAAAGTTGTTCGTATATAATTTGAAAATTTGCCGGATGTTGGGAGAAGGGGGCTTCACTGGTAGGCCTTGCTTCTTTGCGGCCTGTCTTCATCTTTCCCAGCATGGATTGTGTCGATGTGCATCTCTGTACTCAAATATAAAGCAAATTTGCCCTATTCTAATGACGTCTCTGTTGTGAATCTCATGATTGTATTTATAGACCATAATTCATAAAAAATATATCGTGTGATTTCTTCACGGGTTTTGTCAGAAGAAGAAGTATCTACGAGTATAAGACGTCATGAGCCTACTATGAATATTATACCAAAAATGAACGCACCTGTTCCGTAAAGAGTTAGGAGGTTGTGTCAGTCTCGTGTGAGCATCTTTTTTTTCTTTCTTTCTTTTGGTAAGTGTTTTACGGCGCTCGCAACTTCATAAGGTCGTATGAGCGCGCGAGACACATTAAACTTTTTCAGTTTATAGGAAATTTTGAATTTTGCCCGGGTGGCGGCCGAAGCCTACTCTTATCGATTTTAGACCACCAAGGGATCTTTATCGTGCGCAACTTGCACACAGGCCCATCCGAGATTTTTCGACCTTGTCCGAGAAAGCTAGGTGTAGATCTTTCCTACCAGAAGATCAGGGGTGTGGCTGAAAGACAGCAGTAAGAATGAGCCAAGGAGTAGCAGTAGAAAGGCTGCAGAAAGAGTCAGGAGCCCAGAGGAGGGGGCAAAGGAGGTGAGGGGGTGGGGGCAGAAAGAGAGACTTAAGCAGATAACAGAACATTGCTAGAGAGCAGGAAAGGAGGTGAAAGGAGACAATTTTAAAGAAGAAAATTTTTCGGCGATGGTGGGCGGTTGGTGCGCTCGTTTCCCGAAGCGGAAAGTCCGGGTTCGAGCCTCGATTAGGACACGGATTTTTTCGTCCCCCTCCTGCCCACCCAGCAGTAATGGGTACCTGACTTCGAGCTAGGGAAGTAAAGTCGGCGTGGAAAGGAACTGGCCACCCTACCACAATATGCCGAAGGCCCAGGAAGTTGTCTCACTATCAAGGCAATCCCCAATATCTGGATCGGATGCCGGAACAACTTTACTTTTACCCGGATTCGAACCCGGGACCTTTAAATGAGAGGCCAACACCTTAATATCTAGGCCACGAGAGCGACCGTGTAAGCTTTAAAGCAACGAGCTATAGACTTATGCCAAAAATAGAAAGCAGTCTCCTTTTAAAATAAATATAAAATTTTAGTTATGAATTTGGGTAAACCTTCCTTTAGTGAGTTATCCACCCTGCATTCATTTACACTTAAACATAAAATTGGATGAAGAGTCCATCTCTTTGTCCACAGCTCGCAATGAAAGCCGCGGTCAAGATGCTATGGGTCAGCTGCGTGCTGAAGGCCTCGAGGCCAAGTTCCACCCACTGGACATCACTGACCACAACAGCGTCATCACCCTCAGAGACTTCCTGCATGATAATTACCAGGGTTTAGACATATTGGTCAATAACGCCGCCATTGTTTTTAAGGTATGTGTTCGAAGTACAGGGTGTCTAAAAAAAGAAGACTCATTTAAAAATCAATTCAGTTTAGAATCCAAATACGTGACTGTCAGGTCGCTTTTCTGCATTAACACCGTTGTAGCTGTTGCTGTTGCTACTGCTGATGTTGATGCTATTGTTATTGTTGCTGTAGTAGTAGTAGTAGTAGTAGTAGTAGTAGTAGTAGTAGTAGTAGTAGTAGT